AGGTTCAGCTATAGCAGTCAATTGCCGGCGTTCATTCCTTTGCTCGAACACTGTGCAAATTAATTGCAAGGCTTAAACCACATAGGAAGGAGGAGCTGTGTGATGTCATCGTCGGGGAGCTGGAGCTCCACATCGATTTACAAGACGACGAACAGGTGAGTATATTACACTGACAGCCAGCTTATCTAAAATATCAAAGCTAGATCCCTGGGAATGGTCCCTTCCCCATGAGGTTTTTGCACAGATCTGTCTCCGGTGGGGGAAGCTGGACGTGGACCTACTATCATCTTGCTTCAGTAGGAAGCCGAACAGATTTGTGATGAGATACAATGATCTGATAGCACAGACAACAAATAGAGGTTGGTGGTTCCATGAGGTTGGCACAGCCTGATCTATACATTGCTGTCATTGAGACTCTCTGGATGCTTCCCTGGATCAAGTGCAAGATTAGCTCAAAAGGATGTTGTATGGAGACATGGTTTGTCTTCTGGCAGATGTGCCTTGACATCACTACTATCTGGACATGTTCCTGTAGCCAATTCTCTATCCATGTACTCACCATTTCATCTATGCCCATTGACCTCAGCTTGTGTAGTAAGCGTTTATGTGGTACTGTGTCAAACGCTTTAAAAAAATCCAAATATACCATATTCACCTGCCTCCCTCCATCCAGATCTCTACTTACCTCTTCGTAGAATGTTAATAGGTTTGTCTGGCAGGAACAGTCCTTCCTAAATCCATGCTGATTATCATTTACTATAGCATTATCGTGAACAGACTCTACTAAGTAGTCCTTTATCATTCCCTCTAACAGTTTGCATACTATGGATGTAAGACTGGTCTGTAGTTCCCAGGTTGGCATCCTGACACCTTTTTGAATATTGGTGCTACTGTAGCCTTCCACCAGTTACTTGGTACCCTACCAGTCATTAAGGAGTCCTTGAAAATGAGGAATAATGGTCTCGCTATAACCTGGCTGATTTCTTTAAGTACCTTGGGGTGCAGTTTATCTGGCCCTAATGCTTTATTTGCATTAAGTTTTTCAAGTCTATGTTGAACCCCAGCTTCCGTCAACCACTGTGGTATATTTTGCAATGAGCTACATGCAGTCTTATCTACATTAAATCCGTCTTTTTCCTGAGTGTATACTGAGGAGAATAAAGAGTTCAACACCTCGGCCCTCTCCCTGTCGTTTGTGATTAAACTCTTGTTTTCATCCTTTATTTGGCCTATCTGGGTTCCTTTTACTGACTGTGGCAATATGCTTTTTGCACTCTATTTTAGCTGCCCGAATTTCATGTTTACATCTTTTATTACATTCCTTGTAATTCTGGAATGCCAATGTCATCCCCTCCATCTTATATTTTTTAAATGCCACGCTCTTGTCCTTGATGTGTTGTTTTACTGTTTTGTTTAGCCAGACAGGCTTAGTTACTGATCTTTTATTTTTGTTATCCAATGGTATATACTTGGTAATAGCGTTATGTAATGTATTCTTAAAACAATACCACTTCTTGTCAGTGTTGAGTGTGAGAAATAAGTTGTCCCATTCAGTGTCGCATACTATCTGGCGTAGCTTATCAAAGTTTGCCTTTCTGAAGTTTAGTGTTCTTGTCCGACCGACAAGGTTTTCTGTACCCAATATTAAAAGTAATCACGTTATGATCACTATTACCCAGTGTCTCCCTAATTGCAATATCTTCAACTAACTCCGCATTATTGGAAATTATTAAATCTAGGATGGCATTTTGCCTAGTTGGAACCTCAACCATCTGATCCATGAAATTGTCCCACAACAGGTTCAGAAAACGGCCCACCTTTATCGAATGAGAGGTTCCATTAGCCCAATTGTTGTCTGGATAATTGAAGTCGCCCATTACAACAACATTACCCTGCTTCATAGTTGTTTCTATTTGGGAGTGTAGGTGAGCCTCCTCCCCTTCCGCTATATTCGGGGGTTTATAACTAACACCCACAATTAGTTTACCACTAGCATCAGTCCTATCTAGCCTCATATTTTGTCATTGGTGCCGATGTGCACCATGACAGCTGGGTCGTGCCCAACCCCATCCAGTAACCTGTCCATCCGTTCCGCAATGTGTCGAACACGAGCCCCCAGTAAGCGTCAGACTGTTCAACGCTCACGGTTCAGATGACAGATCACCCTGTCTCTCCGCCTGATGATGGAATCCCCCACCACCAAAATCTGTCTCTCCTGACCCTCTATCCTGCTCCCATCCTTGCTGGAGCAATCACTCCCCCTGCGGATAGAGGAGGCGTCCTGCTCCAGCAATGTCACCCCTGAACTAATATCCCCAACATCCTGCAACCTGGTGTATTTATTGGGGTGTATCAGTTCAGGACTGACCTCTCTTGCACTCTTCCCCCCTACCCTTCCTTCTAACGGTAACCCAACTACCCAGCTCGGGATCCAGCCTGGGGCGTCAAGTCCAGACTCCTTTCCATGTTAGTTATGCTCTTCAGTGTTGCCAGTTTGTTGTTTAGATCCAGAATCTGGGCTTCCAAACAAACAACTAGCTCACATCTGGCGCAACAGTATTCAACCTCAAACGCTTGCTCAAGAAATGCATACATTGCGCACAATGATCACCGAGTTGCATACCCACTCATGGAAGACATTTTTTTTCTTTCTCCTTTTTTTTTTAATAGGTTATTTATTTAGGGCCAGCAGTATTCAAGTGGCAATTACACTACCGCCCAAGAGTAATTACACTACCGCCCTGGAGTTATTTTACTAAAGCCCTGGAGTTATTACCCTAAAGCCCTGGAGTTACTACCCTTAAGCCCTGGAGTTACTACCCTTGAGCCCTGGAGTTATTACCCTAAAGCCCTGGAGTTATTACCCTAAAGCCCTGGAGTTATTACCCTAAAGCCCTGGAGTTATTACCCTACGTTATTACCCTACAGCCCTGGAGTTATTACACTACAGCCTGGGAGATATTACCCTGTTGCCCGGGATATATTACCCTGTTGCTTGGGATATATTACCCCGATGCCTGGGTGATATAAAACTTCTGCCCAGGAGTTTTTACAGTAGAACCCTGGAGTTTTTTTTTTATTTTAACACTAATGCCCAACAGTTACTACACACTGCCCTAGAGTTATTTATACTAAACCAGCAGTTAAAATACTATGCTCAGCAGTTAAAATACTATGCCCAGCAGTTATTACTCTATGCCCAGCAGTCTATATACTTAATGCCCAGCTATATATACCCTTAATACACTTAATGCCGAGCAGTTACATTTTAGATGTCCCAACAGGATATTGCCGCTAATGCCTAGCAAACGCCTAGCACACTATTAACACTGTTAGTGCCACAGCAGTCCCCTCAGCCTTTCAGCAATACAATGAAATACTGTAAAATACAAACGGTATTAATGCAGTACAATGCAATACAATACAGTCTCCTTTGCCCACCCTATGTACCACTCATGCCCCTACTCACTCTGCCCCCCCCCCCCTTACAGTCTCTGAGACACACTACTGGCCCCTCTCCCCACTCTCATTCATTCACACTCTCCTCCGCTCTCACGCTCCTCCGGCCACCCCTGACCACCGCCTGACGATCGCCTGCTTGATCTTCCGATCACGATCTTTGGCCACTCTCCTTCAATCAGCCTCCTGCCGTCTGTTCCTCACAGCTCCACCTCTCGCTCTTCCGGTCCACCCACTTGATCACTCGATCCTCTCGTTCGTCACCTGCTCTCCGGACTCCGGTCCCAAGCGTGTCGGCGCGCTGCACGCCCGTCAGCTTGCCCGCTCGTCTGCTTCTGCTTCCGGGTTGTTCAGTGGATTCATTCATATGTACCTTCATCCAAGAGGTAATGCATTTTGCCTCCACTGTTAGAACCTCAAACCTGGTCTTGCCAATCTTGCAGAAGCCTTCCTTTAAGAGCATTTGAAAAACCCCACCTCTGACCCTTTTTGGAGAAGATAGACTTTGTTAGAATTTTGTTCTTACCATAAAATCCTTTTCTTGAAGTTTGAGGGGCACAACTCTGAATAATTCTGATACGTAGGGTTATGCTGCTGCCTCTAGGAGAAATGAACACTAGGCAAACAAAAATGAAAAGCCTGCCACTTGACATAACCCCTCCCACCTCACACATGCCTGTTTTTGCCTAATGTCCTTAGGCAAATGGATGTGTTCTTCTGCTTTATTTTTTTTAATTTTATTTGTGTTTCTATGGTTAGAACAAGGGCTTCTAGTTGATTCATACCAGATAAAATGAAATCCTGGAAATCTTGGATGTGTATATATAGCCGTATCTCATAAAAATATTCCCTCCCGAGAATTGTGCCCAGGTCATAACAGTGATGTCAGATGATGTGGATGACGTTTGCATTCACTGCACAAGCATCAGATGCTAACGTTGGTGAATGTGATGTCATTTAAATTTGTTGTTACCACAAACCTGTGAAGTCACAGTCATGCTAATTTTGGCCCTTGTCAACCTGACTTTTATTTTGTTTTAATGTAATGCTAGCAATTTACCACTATGTTTCCAAATCTGTTAAAGATAGATGCGAGCCCTATGTGTTCTGAAAAAGCAATGCATAATACATTAGGGTAGACTACAAACCCTAAAAGATAGACGTGTAGAACTGAGAGATCGTCAAAATGGAGAAAAAAAACGCTCTGGGACTCAAGGATTTATGGAGAAATAGGCCTGGGACTTAAGTGGTTTATGTCTTTGACAGCGCATTTAATCACTGTGAAAGAAAATAAGCAGTATAGCAAAAAGGAAACTTTGCTATAGTGACAGCACTCAGGCCCCCTTCCACCCGCCAGGCCCCAGTCTTCTGCCCAAGTACCTTTTCAGATAATTTGGCTCTGGTTCTGAGGATGAAAGGTTTTGGGGGCTTATTATGGACTTGGTGGTTTTTGTTTGCTTTGCATAGTTAATATACTGTAGTTTGTAAAGTTCTAGAGAATATATGTGAATTCTTTGTATAATTTTTTTTTTTTTTTTCAGAACCATATTAGAGCTTGGAAGTGGAATTGGGTTGACAGGATTGGCGATATGCAAGAGCTGTTTTCCTAAGAAATACATGTTTAGTGATTGTCACCAGAAGGTGCTTTCAAAGCTTAGAGAAAATATTCATTTAAATGACTTTGTGCTTACTGATGAAGATGATTATGTCAACAATCCTGAAAGATTAAAAGAGTCAGACACTGTTCAGCTGTCTGTTTCAGAACTGGATTGGGAGTCAATTACAGAAAAGCAACTTTCACACATTGATGCCGATGTGATCATTGCAGCAGGTAGTACAACAGAGTGGGGAAAAAAAGATGATTATGAAATATTAACTGAAAATCTGATTTAGCTTATTTTATTTAAGGTCTATAGATTTGTAAGCTAATTTATTATTGATAATACACACATAAAAATCTCTGAGACAAAAAATAAAATTAACTGAATGTGCCATTCCACCCCCTCGCAGGTCTGGAGTCCTAAGTAAAGTTGCTAAACACACAAAGACCAACTTACCTGTTTAATGTATTTCTATGAAACAATAAAATACATACATAAAACTATGTAAAAAAAAATTACACAACTGTATCCAAAGTTTGTTTATTAAAGTGACACTAAATCCAGGAGTTAAACCTTAAAATTGCATTCAAGTACCCTAATTATTAACAAAAATATATATTTTTTTGTGTATCACTCAGCTGTAGATCCTCAAATCATCTCTGAACAGGTGCTTACATTGTCCTTCCTTCTGAAGTGTGGATACTGCTGTTCCCCATGGTCTCTGTTTGTGTTGTAAGGTAGACACCGCTCCAAGCTCACTCCCGTGATGGACGACAATCTCATGTCTAGTTTACTAATTTGTATTGAGATTGTAGTCCATCACGACAGTGAGCTTGGAGCGATAGCTACTTTACAACACACACAGGGACCATGGGGAACAAAAGTAGCCACCCTCCAGAAGGAAGGACATTGTCATCATGAATTCAGAGAGTTTAGCGTCACTTTAATACATATTTTTTAAAAGATCAGACTGCTGAGTTCCAGGAGATGTGCACTTTAGTAGCAATATGTCATATAACATAGAAAGTCTTGTAATATATAGTATATGATACATAAAGTTCATATAGTCCAATGGGTTGCATGCCTTGGTAAATGCTCAATTGAGACAGGATTTTTTTGTATTTTCTGTAGTCCATTGGACAGGTAATATGGTCTTTGTGTGTTGAGATGTAATAAGTACTTGGGGGTGTTTATACTTGTGCATTACTTGGCACACCTGCACATAAAATGAAAAAATACAGCTAATGCAAGGTCCACTTTAAATAATAGGTTTATGTTGCATCATTTCACAATGAATGTAAATCCACCCATATGTACATATAAACTTAATATCCGAAAGAAAGATTTGAATACAGACTATACATAATTTTGCTGTATTGCCTATTATAACCTCTTAAATAATTTATTTTGTGGCTTTCAGATGTTGTATATGACCCTGATATAATAACGTCATTCACAAACATCTTATGCAAGCTTCTCTTCGGTAAAAAAGTTGAACAGTGTTTGGATATCTTTGTAGCTTCTACAGTTCGCAACCCTAAAACCTACAGACTGTTTCAGACAAAACTAGGTATGTTTGTACTTGAGTTACTTCTTTGTAACAGGGGCAATATTTCCTTGTTTAGTTTACTGAAGTTGCATTGTGTATTACATTATCAACTATTTACACTTGTTAAAATGACTGGGGTTTTTTAGAGGTTTTATACATTTTCTTATTTATAGTTTCTATAAAAAGTATTCACCTACTTTGGCAGTTTTTAGGTTTTATTGTCATAGAACTTTGAAGCTCAGTGGATTTTTGTGTACATTGATTGACAGAAACAGACTCTTCTGGTTTAAAAATGGAAACACATATCTGTAAATTGATTTAAATTACAATACAAAATGCACAAAATCACTGACTGGATTTGTGCAGACCCCCTTTAAGTCTGTGTTTTAGTTATTGCTCCCTTGGCAGCAAATACATACCATGTAATCATGCTGCCACTATTACTGAAAGTTTTAGTTATTAACCCAGATCACATGTTTTGAAGTGTGAAGTTGGCACCTCATGTTTGTAAAACCTAAATTCAAATATACCATTCATTTGTGCTGTGTTTACAGGGGTGTGGAAATATTTTTCAAAACTGCTTGTCCAAGGACTAAAGCGGGGACCAATCTACTTGTCCCGCATGACAATCTACTTGTCCTGATAAAAAAAATAATTTTAACCATGTTAAGATGCTCTTCTCATTGGTCAGCGCGGTCACCTGACCACGCTGACCAACGATTGCTTGTAATTTGTGAGTGAAATTCGAAATCCATAGGGTAAGGCTGTGCTGGACGGCAGTATGGGGGTACAGATAGTACACCTGTACTGATGGAGGGGAAGGACCAAGCGCCGAAAGGTAAGTGTAGCGCTGAGGGAGGGAATGTGGGGAGAGGGAATGAAGGTTGGCCAGCTTTGAGCGGGTAATTCCATTTTCCCCAAATTAATTGGGAAAGTGAACTTACCCTTTAAAGGAGAACTATGGGGTCAGTGTATTTCCCCATAGTTCTCCTTGGGGTAACGGGAGGACACAAACTAGCGTCCTCCCGTCACCCTAAGCTCAGTATACCGCGAGCTACAGCTCGCGGTATACTGAGCTTAGGGTGACGGGAGGACGCTAGTTTGTGTCCTCCCGTTACCCCAAGGAGAACTATGGGGTCAGTGTATTTCCCCATAGTTCTCCTTGGGGTAACGGGAGGACACAAACTAGCGTCCTCCCGTCACCCTAAGCTCAGTATACCGCGAGCTACAGCTCGCGGTATACTGAGCTTAGGGTGACGGGAGGACGCTAGTTTGTGTCCTCCCGTTACCCCAAGGAGAACTATGGGGAAATACACTGACCCCATAGTTCTCCTTTAATGCACATTGTGCGTGTTAGAGACCACTGCTTATTCACATGCAGATAGCGGCGGGGACGGGGGTGGTTTTAATTTTTTTTCTTTTGTTTTTTTTTTACAGGGATGCATCGATACCGGTTTTTCGAGTACCAAAAAATGTTTTCGGTACTCGCCAATACCGGATGTCCAATTAAGGAGGCCAGGCAGCATGTAATGACTTGCCATCTGGCTTCTTGATTAGCCGTAAAGCAGGGCTGCGTGTAAAGACTCGCCAGCCGACTTCCCGATTTGCAGGGAAGCTGTCTCCATGCTCCCTCGTCAGCAGATGACTAGGGAACATGAAGCTGGCTTTCTTGCCAATCAAGAAGCCCGGGGGGGCAAAGAACGGATGTTTTCCACTCTGCACCCTACTCTCCGGAGGACCCTGAAAATCACGGTTGGGCACAAGATCGCTGCTCGTTTGAGACAAGTGATCTGAGCTCACTTGTACTAAACGAGCGGCGGCTCCCCCTATCTATTTTTAGCTCTGCTAGCCCGCAGCAGGGCTAAATGTAGAAAAAGACGACACCCCCGGAACTGCATGTCCCGGGCATTGAACGATACGAATTCCGCACCCCTGGTTTGTGCTGATTTTGTGCTGCAAAAACAAACATTTGTGCCTCTTTGCTTTCAGAGATATTACATTTTAAAAAACAACATACCATTCGTTTGTGCTGCAAAAACAAAGTTTGCGCCAGTTTGTTTTGAAGTTTTTGCACATTAAATTTTAGGTTATATCTCCTCAAGCCTCGCCCACTTTGCACCTCACGTTACTAAATTTTAAATGCAAACATTCCATTTGTTTGTGCTGATTTGTGCCGCAGAAATTGACATATTAGTCATAGTGTAGATATAGTGTAAATCATGAGCCAGGGCATTTGAGCCCAAATAAATGCTATGACATGATAACCATTTCTCCTTCAGGGCCCGTTCACACTAGTACAGTGCATTCATTGCACACTCCCATTCATTTCAATGGCACCCCAAAGGCACCTCCCGCCCACAGTGCGATCGCCCACATCTGGTACCGCAGTGCTGTGCATTCCAGTGCGGTGTGATTGCATGCACAATTTTTTGCAATCGCATCGCACTGGAATGCACAGCATTGCGGTACAGCACATTCTGGTGTGGGTAATTGCACGGTACAGAGGATTCATCACACAGGAGTGTGCAGTGAGCGCACTGTACTAGTATAAACAGGCCCTCACTTAGCACTTCCTAAACAGCCCATAATAATTTTTTCTAATACAAGAATGCTATGTGAAAAAATAACAACTTTTATTAAAGCTTGAATAAAGGGGATGGACAATTCCCAGTTGTAGATTTTACCTTTGGGTTTGCTGGATAAAATATATAAAGATGGGAACAGGGGATAAAGATGAGTGAAATGTATGCAAACACATTTGGCTTCCCAAAGCAATTTGTTTAAAAAAAATAAAAAAATAAAATATATATATATTTATTTCCTGGCT